GGCCCCGCCAGGCCCCCCGCGCCGCATGCGCTGCTGTCTCTCAATGTCTCGGACAGTATCTTTCATCTTTTGCTGAATTCTCTGCAAAGCGCGGCTGACTTGAAACAAAAAAAAAGTCTACCGATGTTTCTGTGAAATCACAAATTATTTTTCTATTCTCTTATTCGTAACTCGCGAGTGGATGGCGGCGGGAAGTCCTGTCCCCTAATCCTTTGACCAGTATTCGTGGTTTCCCTACCTTCCAGTCTTCTTGTCCTTGTAGGCGTTAATTTGTGTTTGCATTGGAAATTTGAATGTGAAGCGATTATCATGAATATGGTTTGTCCATAAATCTTTATTTTGTATTGGAACTTTTTTGTATGTACATTTATGAGTGTGGCATTTAATAACTTCTGTAATATTGCGTTTTTTTGCTTTTAATTATTTCCATTGGTGTGCGCGCACCCGAGCTAATTAGTCTAGGAACTAATGTACTAAGAGAAATGTATTGAATGAAATAAAATATTATCAAGTCCTTGTATTGGAAACGTAAATGTTATCTTGTTACTTTTCCCCCTTATACAGACTGGCTGGGTATTTCAAGTCGCGTGCTTTTTTCGAGGAAGGCCACAGTGGGGGAAGGGAAGGGAGGGCTCCAACCCAGCAAATGGTGACCGAGTGTTTGAAACTTGGTCAAGTGGAATACTTTGGACCACGGGGAACGTTTTGGGATATTGGTGGGTACCGCACAATTCAACCTCCTTGTTGAGCTGCCGGATCGTCTCCATACCACGGCGGGCTAACCTACCCCGAAAAAAAAAATCACGACTTGGAACACCCCCCTCTCCCCCTCCCCAGTATATGTGTCTTACAAATCTGCCCATCAATCAACCAGCTGCTGCCACACATCATTCGAGCAAAGTATGTATCATGTATGCAACAAAATGCCTCCATTCTCAAGTTACCAATCTCAAAATACAAGTCAATCTTTTAGAAAAGGAAGACACAGACCGTGCCTCTGGCCCACTTTTATGCGGATTGCTGCACACATTGCCTATCCATGAGACGGTTTGTAAAGGTTCCCCTGGAGGTAGGGGGAAGTGCCCCCCCCCCCCCTCCTGAAGGTAAAACTTGCTCGGGCCGTCGGGGCCCCCACCAGCTGCATTCTCCCAGATTCTCCCAGGCTTTGTTTGGCTTTAGCAAGCGCTGTACTCGGCTAGCACTGGTGCAGCACTGGGGGCTGCTTCATTGGGCGCCAGTGGGCGCCATGCCTTACTAACTCTCGCTTGCTTGCGTTTTATGTTCCATGTTTTGGCTTCGCCCCTGGCGCTTCGTAGAACGACACAGATTCGACAAATTCGAAGGTGAGGACAATACCAGCCAAGACGACACTGATTAATCCGTTTTGGAAAACTGTATTTCTTTGCAGATGCCATGGCTTAGAGGTAATGTCGGGTAATGTATTTTTCTCTTGGCGTGATTTCGTCTTGTTTTCTGGTTCTCTGTGCCTCTCCTGTGCGGGAGAAGGGGGCTGGAGACGAAACTTGCTCGTTCCGATGGCTGTTAGAATGAAAGTGGCAGCATTTCGCAGGCAGAACAGAACCTGTTGTTTGTAGGGTCGCTATCGGTCTGCCGGCCGCGCACGCACCGCCGGCCCCGGCCCCGCGCCCTCTGCGGTCGAGTCCTCCGAGTCGGAGGCCGACCCAGCCGACCTCGCAGACCTCGCTGACCCCTACGGACCGTACAGCCGCTTCGCCAGATACATCAAGTCCTCCGACCAGCCCAAGTCGTCGGCGAGCAGGGCGAGGCCGGCCGCGACCGCACTAGTGGTCGCCGACTCCGACGAGTCGGAAGCTGAGGCGGATGTGCTGAGGAGGAAGCCGCTGCAGGCCGTTGCGCTGGAGGACAGCGACGACGAGGATGAGGACGGCTTCTACGAGACCAAGTTCTCCAAGCTGCTTCGGGAGAGCCGCGCAGCCGTGCGCCAGGCGCCAACGCGCAAGTGTCGCAGGGACCTTAGCTCGGACGAGGAAGACGGGCGCGCCAGCGCGCTCTCCAACGGACGACGCTTCTCCGACGGCGTCGTGCTCGCCGCAAAGCGGGTGGACTCGGATGGTCTGAACGAGACGCTCAGCGGGCTGGACCTGAGCGTCTCCGCGCGACCCGCTAGGGCTGCAAAGGCCGCGAAGGCCGCTTATTCTAGCGAGGATGAGGATGTCGTCGATCCCGACCTAGAGAAGTACCGTCCGAGCAAGGCCGCCTACTCGCGAAGGCCGAAGATTGACGATGACATGGACAGCGTCCCAAGCAGGACGACGAAGCCGTCAGCACTGCCCCGGGAGGAGCATGACGTGGACGGCGTCGCCTCGTCCAGGCCTACGAGAGTGACGAGGCGGCATCGAGCGGCCGACGATTGCGAAGAGTTGGAGAGCGTCGTGTCATCCGGGACATTCAGGTCAAATCGGCGAACTCTGGTCGATTACGAGGATGTCGAAGAGGATAGCGTCTTGTCAGCGAGGCCGTCGCGGGCGATAGCGCAGGTGCGCAGGTCTGCACAGGCAGACAGCGCGGTGTCATCGCCCACCTCGGAGGCGAGCAGAGCTCCCCGACGGCCAAGCTGGGCGAGTCAGGACAACGCCCCCCTCATAGCGCGATCTGACAAGACCTCGTCCACAAGCTTGGCATCGCAGGCCACGTCCCTCCCCAGGGTCGCGAGGAGAGCGAACGGCGCCGCTGGGGTGGACGCTGACGACAAGGACTCGAGCACAGCGTCGTCCTACCGGTACGGCGCGCCGCGTCGCAAGGCTGTTGATAACGTCGATGTCAGTGACCTCGGGGACGCGACCAGCTCCATATCGTCGGCATACGGACGCACTCGGGGTCTCGGGCTGAACAAGGGGGGTCCTTCGAGAGCTTCCAGGGCGAGCTCCGAGGACGTCGGCTCTACCCGCCTGGATGCGGCGGCGCCCGCGGCGGGCCGCAGAAGGCATGACGACGAGCAGTCCGGGTCGTCTCGGGGGCACCGCCCGCCGCCCTACACCTATCGGACGCGCAAAGTCACCCGGGGCACGGGGGCGACCAGCCCGAGCCCGCCGCGGGTGAGGCCGTCGCCGCACTGCAGCGTCCGCAGCGCAGCTGCCCGACGGCCGCCGACAGAGGACGACGCGGAGGTACGGCCCGGTGCGCTGCACGGCCCTACCCTGTCCTGCCCGGAGTGCACCCTCCCGCAGCCGACCACTGTGACGGTCTTTACCTCTGTCACGATCACAAGCCACCCCATAATTAATTCCCGTGTTCTGCTTTCTTTTTGATTGTTTTCTTTTATCACCATCCAGGTAACACGCACGTCGGCCTGTCGGGGGCTCCCCCCCACGCCCACGCGTTGTGCGGCACCACACTCTGTTTTCAATAATCTCCTCGGTGTTGGTGCCGTGCCCGGCCATGCCCGCCCCGCCTGCTGACTGCCCTGATAACTGACTGCCCGCCCTTTGACCCTGCCTCCCCCAGGCCCAGCCCTTCCACCACAACCTCCCCTTCGTGGCGCACAAGAGGCTGACGGCTCCGCAGGCGCCGCCCCCGCGGTCCAAGGTCCGCAACTCGGTCCTCATGGCTGAGATCGACAGGATTAACCACCGGGTGAGGCCCCACCCCGCGTACGTCCCCACCGAGGACTGGCTCAACTCGGCCTGTTCCGTGGTAAGCCGGGTGTGGCAAAGCAGGGGCCGTCCGCATTCTGGCGCTAGCGCTGGCGCTGCGCCTGTGTAGGGACGGTCCCTTTTGTGAGGAGTGCAGGGCGGATGGACAGTTGTGGACGCCTTCATGCTTCAACGATTGGGGCTTCACACACCCAAAGTCGGAGGGCCTCCCGTAACAAGGATGAATAAACCATGTCCGAGGCGAGTCGCCTCGCTGGCCGAGGCCGGGCTGGGCGCCCTCTGACGGTGGGTGCGCCTCTGTGTGCGCCAGGTTAACGCGCTGACCATCTCCACGGCATTGTGCGCGACCCAACCCTGGCCGCCGGGACACACAGGGCAAAGCGCGACCTTAAACGTTTCCTTTTGGCTTTCTTGTACTCTTTTTGTTATTTCTTTTTAAGGCTGTGCCAGACCCGATAAGGGACTGTGGGCGCATGGCACGTAGCTTGTGTGTTTGAGTTCGAGTCAGTTTCCTAGGTGAAAGACCAGATCCATGCGAAACCTTGTCAAATTTTCCGTCCTGATTGCAACCTAGGCACAGGTTGGTTCTCAAAGCAGTGTTGTGGGTTTGCCTACTCCATCTGACAGTAAGGTGCCATGGCACCTGCTGTTCGAATGAGTAGACAAACCCGCAACACAGCAGCACGTCCACGGAAACAACCGGTACTAGTCATCTTCCGTAATTTCACACAGGTTTTGTGAGTTCCTTTCTTACCTTTTTACCTTTTTTACATCAATATTTTTCACGCCCAGAGATGAGTTAGGGCACTCAACGGTCCTCAAAGGTGTATTTTTATTTAAAACGGCAGTGTTTGCAATGCCTGGCGCACCCATTGGGTTGGTACTGAGACATCCCCACCCGACGCCTTTTCTTTTTTAACGAGCGAACGCCCTTTCAATGCGAGTCGCAAACTTTTCTCTGAAAGGGATGAAAAGAAATAAAAGTACAACAGGCGACAACAAGTTTGTTTTGACGCGTTGAAAGGGAGTTGAACTCGACAGGCTCGCCCCCCTGCAGCTACCCCCGGCTTGATGGACGTACTGTATAAAAAGTCTGCGTGCGTTCTTTTGACCGCTTTTTAACAGAAGTGTGCTTTACTTTAACGCTTTTGTTCCTGTCGTGCATTTATTAAATGTAAAAGCTGTGTGAGAGGAAAAGAGCCGCTCGCTCCGCTTGATATTTTTTTTGGTCACGAGCAAATTTATTTAAGTTAGCATAAACTTGCGTAGAGCGAAAGAGATAGATGAAAGTTTGCAACTGTTCTCACGGGTCGCTGTGTCCCCTTAGTACGAGCTCTTGAAAAAGACTGACTTCCGTGTGGACCCAACCGAAACGAGGTCCGTGGCCACAGAGGATTCCGTCGTGGAGCCGTCCGCATTCGAAACCTGGAGATTGCGCAACCGCGAAGCGGAGCCGTCCGCATTCGCAACCTGGAGATTGCGCAACCGCGTCAGGAAGGGGGAGCTTCCACTGTGTGCAATCGCAGTAAGTATTCCGCACGCACACCAACAGTCTCGCAACCAAAAAGCAGTCTTACTTAGCCCAGGATCTCGCCCTGGCCGCCCTTACCACCCCGCCCCGCTACGGCCCGTCCGTGGCCGCACCGTGGCCGCGCCGCCGGCTGCCTTATAATCTGCTAGGACAGAGATATATCTCAATGGCATGCGTAACTTGCAGCATGATATTTCTGAATAGGAATGGAGGAATTGACGTAACTAAACAATGATTCGTTATCGTCGCAGGCTTGAAACTTCACTTTTTCATTGTTAAATGTAATGTCGACAGGACGAGGAAGTTTATGAAACTAATTCGGTTATAATACCACTGTAATTAAACCCGTTTAAAGTATCCTATAAAA